GAGCATGACCAAGGGTGGCATCGCAACCTCCCGATCCGCCCTGCTCTGTGCATGACAGGGGGTGGCACCTAGGGATTGGGCCTGCCCTCTGCCACCCGGGAGCAGGCCTAAGCCAGCAGGTCGTTATCTCCCGAGGGGTCCCAGACTGCGAGAGGGCACAGGCCGGGCTGAGGGACCCCCCTCTCCCCGAGTGCACACATTTTTGTACACCGGGCCTCTAGTATATGTATAAAACAATCTTTCAAGTTCAAAAGACACCTGTGAAACAGATGGAATTTAAATGGAATTAGAAAAGGATGTAACCAGCGCAAAAACAGAAATATACCTTATTTGCATGACAAATCATTGCTCTTTAATCAGGGAGTAATACATCGTTACGGACTCATTAATCTTATACATTAAGACGTCAACATTTATTTCAATTCTGACATCTCAAAGTAAATAGAATTTTAACTCAAGTTTCCTACAGCAGCAGACACAGTGCCACTGCTCAATGTTTATTCTGTGATCATTTTTGCTGTTGGCTGAACAAAAACAAATAGCAAATAACATTATCTAGGTGTGCCTAAAATTGTAACTCACACGAATTAGCTAGTTCATTAAATCTCTAGATCAAGAAAATAGAGACAGTGAGTTTCATGACCAAGGTCACAAAGCTAGATCTAGGACAAAGGCCCAGGACCATCTGACTTGCACTGCAGCACTGCTCCCACCCAAAACAATAGTCACCTGAAGGCTATCATAACTGGAGCACATTATTCTCAATCAACATGAGAGCCAACAGGACTCCAGTACTGAATTACGGTCATTTGCACATTTCCAGCCACGCTCAAGCGAGACAAAAGTGTGATGAGTGAAGGAATGAAAAAGAAATTCTTTTTTATCTTTCCCAGGAGCCTTATAACCTTCTAAAGGGTTAGAAATGAACACTACTTCCTAAGTTCCTGAGGAGTGCGTCTGTGTTCAAAGACCTCTGAGAGGCAAGAAAAACATGATAGGAAATTATATAAAACTTTTCAAAATACATAATAGAATTCTGACACATAACAGAACATGCAACATACAGCGTTTTGAATGAAACATTATCAAAAGTTACTATTTACTTCATAGTAACCAAGAAAGGTGGTGCTTCAGAGGAAAAAGAGAAAAGAAAACGAAAGAAAAAAAGCTAACAGGCTATTTCTTTAAACCTACTTAAAACACAAACAAACCTGCCAATATTTAGCAAATATTTGATAGTAAGTATCACTTCTTATAGCTGGCATATAATGGTCATTTATAAGCATAATAAATTAATTAATCTCTCTTAGTATCACCCAGTACTATTCTTGAATACTATAGTTTGTATCAGTAACTGTAAACTACTGCTACATGTAGTAGAAAGGAATTGGCATTGACAGTTTGTATCGAACAAAAATGTTCCTAAGGCCAGAACATTTTACATTAAGCGTATGTATCTATGTAAGTATATAAGTGTAAGTGTGTTTGTGTGTAAAATATGTTCATTTGCTCTCTCTATATACATATATGTATAAATATATGGAATGTGTTTTGACAATATTGATTTTAACTAAGGAACTTATGTATGGAACAGTGATTTTCAAACTTTCCATATAGCAATTCATAAATAACTAAAACAAAAGTTTCACGCCCTAACCGGTTTTGCTCAGTGGATAGAGCAACAGCCTGCGGACTGAAGGGTCCCAGATTCGATTCCAGTCAAGGGCATGTACCTTGGTTGTGGGCACATCCCCAGAAGGGGGTGTGCAGGAGGCAACTGATCAATGTTTCTCTCTCATCGATGTTTCTAACTCTTTATTCCTCTCCCTTCCTCTCTGTAAAATATCAATAAAATATTTTTTTGTAAAAAAAAAGTTTCATGAGATACCACCACCCTTACTACACCCAAAGCACTACTATTTTCCATTCCATTTTTAAAAATGCTGTTTGTGATCCACTAAACTGACTTGTCACCCTGTTCTGGAAGCTCATAAAAGTGCAAAAAAGACACTGGGAAGGTGTACACCTTAGTGTGGCCTTCATTCCTTAGAAATAACCTAGGCCCCATAGACAACAACCAGAAACTGGCAAGATGAAGTCTAGAAATTATTTAATATTATTCATTCAAAAGCTATATTGAGCACCTGAAGGGCACTATTATTAAGTAAAAAAAATACAGAGCATATTCTGGGCCATAAAACAAGTCTCAAACATTTAAAAGGAGTAAAATGATAACAGATCTTCTCTGATAACAGGAGAATTAAATTAGAAATCAGTAACAGAAAGCTATCTGTAAAATCCCACATATCTGGAAAATAAATAATATACTTCTAAATAACCGAAGGGCTGAACAAGAAGTCAAAAGGGAAATAGAAAGTATTTTTAACTAAATAAAAATGAAAATACAACACATATCGAGGGAAGCAACATCACAGGCAGGGTGTTACTGGTTTCGAGGAGAATGGGCCCAGCCACCAGGTCTGCTTGGTTCCTTCTAAAACAATCCAAACTGTTCACATAAGGAGGGTGGCCACTTGGAGTGAAAACCATCGATGATTATTACTGAAGGTTAAGATGAAAGAACCAGCCTTAGCCAGTTTGGCTCAGTGGATAGAGCACCGGCCTGCAGACCAAAGGGTCCCAGGTTCAATTCTGGTCAAGGGCACGTACCCTGGTTGCAGGCTCCTCCCTGGCTAGGGCTCTGGTCAAGGCTCGTGCAGGAGGCAACCAGTCCATGTGTTTCTCTCACATCGATGTTTCTCACGGTCTTCCCCTCTCTCTTACACTCTCCCTAAAAATCAATGGAAAAATATCCTCGGGTGAGGACTAACCGAAAAAGAAAAAAACAGTCTCCCCACCTCACCCCTGTTGGAAAGCGTTTCCTAAATCTGAAAGGAGACTAGGACTCTAATAAGCAGCCTGGTGTCACTGAAGGAGGAGACAGCCACACAAACAGGATAATCTGACTAGAGAGCAGTGGGGGACACACCCGGAAAGAGGCAAGAACAGAAGCTACAGCGCGTGGTGGTGAGCTGATGGGCAGCACTACTCTGCAGGCTTCAGGATGGTGGCCTCCTCCGCATACTGAGGACAACTCCTGGGAACACAGTGCCTCTTACTACTGTCCACTTGAAGCTTGTAATTGAAGCTTCATAGAGTCACCCAGAACCAAATTAAATGCAGGAAAACCTCAGCTTCTCAGTGGCCAGCTGGACTAAGACAGGCCAGAAAGAGAACCCCTTCTGCCCTCAGGCAGATGCTCTGAGGTGGCCGGAGGACCCCCCTCCCCAACCCCCAATCTTGCAAATCTGGGTTCTATTATATATCCTAGTACTTTTTATTCCAGCATCACAGGGGTAAGAGAAAGGGTCGTATCTCAATACTTGTTTTAATTAAATAAAATATCAGTTCATCCACTGTTTAGAAAGGGGTTGGGGGATAAGAGGGTGTAGACAACCATTAACTCAGCTTGATGGGGAGTATTAGTCTTACCATTTTGATCAGTGGCATTCATTAAATATGTTTTCTCTGTGTTTTTTCAGGGAACTAAAGTGAGTAAGGATGCTACTCTGCTCTTCTGAAGGCAATTCCACATCCTGCTAGGCTTGGTTTTTCTAATATGTGCTTGGCTTCCTAAAACAAGCATAAAACAACCTTTTTTAGATCAATGCTATTTATTTCCACAGAGAAGGAACCTCAGAACTTCTTAACTATTAATAGGTTATCTCGTCCTTTTACACCTTTTTTATGTTAAAGAAAAACACACGGTACAGGGGAAAGGGGACGAAAGCGGAGTTTAATTGCAAAGATTTAAATGCAGAAAAAGTCACATGGTGGCTTTTTAAAAAAAGAACACTTCCTCCCCCTCCTTTCTTTTATCTACCAAGAAGCATAAATACTATGTTACTCCTTTAAAAAACATTTTTTGAAGTTATATCCTTCTTTAATGAAAGACCCTAGAGTCTTAGATTTAACCTTGTAATCTGAAAGTCTTTCTAACATACATGTGCAATCTAAACAGTTGACTACTACTCAAAGCCACCATAGGAACTAAACAGCTATATAAATTCATAAGCAGTTTCCTCAAATGAAAACCCCACAGAAAATGATGCTTTTGACAGAACATCTTTTCTAAATCCTTTTGGAGGAGAAAAATTTTAAGTGATGGAACAAAGCGAACAAAGTTATATTATTTATTCACCATGTGAAAAGATCCAGCGTACATTACTTCAGAACAGAGATTTACAATGTATAATCAACATGCTTAGTGATGAGCCAGTGAGAATGATTAAATATGCCAAGGTCTTAATTATAATACCACTTTACATCTGAATAGAACAGTCTGCAAAGCACTTACATCCATAAACTCATTTGACTGCATGTCCTTCAATTTAAGTACAATAGATATAAGTCCGTCTGAGTAAGAGAAGTTATGTACTGAAATGTTTAAGAACATGGACTATAGAGCCAATTGCCTGGTTTGGAAACCTAGCGTTGCTGTGATTCTGTGTAAATGACTGAACATCTCAGTTTCATCATCTATAAAATGGGGGTAATAATCATTTCTACCTCTTGGACCCACTAAGGATTAAACCAATTAATATATGTCAAGCACTTAAAACAGTGTCTAGCACAGAGTAACCATTATGTATCATAACAATGTAATTGTATTTATCAGCAGCATCACTGTATGAACAAGGCAACAAGCCAGTAAAGTCACACACAGAGCCAGGAATAGAAACCAGATCTTCTCCTATTTGAAGCTCCATCCAGAGAGCACTGGGTTTGTTGTTGTTTTTAGGTATCCTAAGGTTTTTCTACACTGATATTAACAGTTTAATGTGGAATTATACTAATCAAAACAATTCAGCAGCTCAAAATATTTATAAAGTTGTGTTATAATCTATGTTTATGTATATTTTAAGTTAAATTTATTATTTAAAAAAACAAATATTTCATTTTGGGGACAAAACTGTACATTAAGGAATAGTTATGTGTTGCTTTATTTGCAGAACAAAACTTTTGCTTCACCTTTCAAAAGATAGACCAAAAAGGCAACAGTCTATCATATCATATCATATCATGGACATTAATACAACTTCTTTAGCAAATAAAAAATAATAGAAGGAAATACAATTAACCCTTGAACAATGCAAGGGTTAGGAGCACCAAACCCTGGCATTTGAAAATCAAATGCACACATGAGTTCTGACTTTCGCAAAACTTATGCTGTCCCTCAATATCCGCAGGGGATTGGTTCCGGAACCCCCCACAATACCAAAATTGATGCTCAAGTCCCCTATATAAAATGGCATACAGTTGGCCCTGCACATCCACGGGCCCCTAACTGTGGATCAAAAACATTACAGTATTTATTGAAAAAGATAAAGAAAATCCCGCATATAAGTGGACCTGCACAGTTCAAACACATGTTGTTCAAGGGTCAATTATATGCTAGGACGATGATAACGTCTGTACTATGATTTCCTTTTTTCTTTCTTTCTGGTTTTCAAAACATTAAGTATTGTGATGAAAAATGATTTTTAAAATGATTTCCAAAAGAGTTTATCAAGATTTAAAAATAGCATTTATAGAACAAACACTTAGAAGTTAATTCTAGAAATTAATAGACGGCCAGCTGAAACTGCCTCTTCTTTTCAGACTTGTTTTAGGTATCTTTCCTCAGACTTTGTTTAAACTTTTTCCCTTTAGGGATTTAGGTGACTGTGATAACATGTTCCACTGGATCTAAAAATAGGGCATGGGTGTGTAAATGTATAAGCTGACATGCAAAACTGGCACTAGATGTCCAAATTAGAGCGTTAAATCATTTAGCATATACTCTAGTATAAAAAATGTACTTTAAGCATTGATACGCACATGCTTTGTAGATACTGGATATACAATTTTAATTCAAGCATATTTAATATTTGCTTGTGAAGAGCTATGAAGTCATACACACTTTAACATTCTCAAATAGTCAAATCACTCCTTAAGAGATTAACTTAGACAAAGTACTCCTCCACTCCAGGCCTTTGAATAATGTGCGTAGACTAGCACATCTCCAGTTCTCAACGTTCTTTCACCCCAACCCATCTGAGGGATGCAACTTCTCTCCATTTGCTGCAGTGGGGACAGCCTGAAAATGTCCCATAAGTGATCATGTACACCACCCTAGAAGCTGTGCCCCTTGCCCCGCCCTCCACTCCACTCCCTTCCCTTCCACTCCACCCACCCCTGCAGAGTTCTCCGAGGTTATGCATAGCTCCAATGTCTGCCACTTTATGTACAGAAAAATCATGCCATGACCTAGACTGTATCTGACAGTGTTACTTTAAAACGCTTATAAAGAAGCGCTAAATGTTAACATGCATCTTCTTTTGTGGGAACACGCAAGGTTCAAACAAGAATCTGTACACTGATGATACCAAGGAGGGCTTCATCACTGTGCAAATGGCAAACAACACACCTGCCCTGGAACTGGTTTCGAATCAAGGAGGCGGGTAAAGGGAGAGGAAAAGTAGGGTATCCAACAGAATAATGCCCCCTCAAGTTTGAGGAAATGGTTGGAACATGTGGTTAAAGGGAAGGTGGTTTGTGTAAGTCAAGTTTTCTGATAACAGAAAAGGAATGCCAAAATACAACACATAGAGATGTGATGTTATATGGTCCCCAATTTCTTCTTCCAAATATCAATTTTTGCAGGACTGACATCAATTCTAAGTGATTTTTTAAATCAGTCACTAATAATAACCAATAGCTATAAAAATATGGTTTGGGCATATATTATAAATACAAGTCAAATACACTGGCTCAGCACGATTAACAATGAGCCTGTATGGTATTTACAAATAGTGTCCTTTTTCTTTGAAGGTCTACTTACTGTGGACAAAATCTATACTATTTAAAAGCTATTGTATGTGCAAAGTCTTTATGAAAAATTCTCATATCTAGGAAAAAAAGGAAATGGAATTTTACAACTTTTTGGGGAAAATGTGTGTTGTTTAAGTGTCAGCCGATATGACATCATCATTAATAAGTATAGAAGGCATGGCAAAAATTCCGGCTGGGGCTTCGAAATTACGGTTAATTATATGGGGGGAAAAATGTGTAATTGCATCATCTCCAAACCAGACAACATATTCATCAATAAATGCTGATTATTAGCTATGTTTTATAGTAAGAGGACCTTTATATGGCACAAAAAATAACACTGATCCACAGGTTTGAACAACAACAAAAACTGACGAGGTCTGAAAGTTGCTGTCCTCTGTACTAGAAGATGCCACCAGTGGTGACTGAAAATAGAACGTATACATCTCTGTTCACTGCGCTATTGATCCATGCCAGAAAAAGTTGATAAAATGTTTTGGTGGGCATCAATTTCTTCTGAAACCACTGACAACGCATGCTGTCCACTGTTGGCTTAACTCGCTGAACGCAATTTAAAAAAAAAAAAATTCTCAACGTTCTCCACAGGAACAGGAACTATGAACTGTAAAACCCAAAACTTGTGTTAAGGGAACAGACCGATAACTCAACAAGAAATAAAACTGAAGAGAAAGAAAATGCCCCGACCCCAATTTTGTAAGATGTTCACATTGGAAACAGTAGCAATAAATACGGTGCGAGAGGACAATCCCTCACACAGAGCTGGAATGGATAAATATTTCTTGAATGAATATATACATTTCTTCCTCATTCTGTGCCCATGTGTCAAAGCATCAAGCAATCTAATTTGTGCCCGTTTCTGTTGTGTCTTGAACTTTATATATAAGTTTTATCATGAGGGGGGGTAGGAAACCTGTTTGGCTTGCCTCGCCATGAATCACAGCCAGGAGGTCATCTTGTTGTGTACCAGCAACTATGTTTTCACTACAGCTATGTGACCTAAAGTGGCAGCAGGAGAGGCACCAAAATAGAAGGAGCAGCAGGCTTCTCCTGGCTTCTCGGCCCCAAACGGGCTTTTCCAGCCCATTCTGGTATCCGAGCAAGAGCCAACCGCAAAGGAGAGAGAGAACAAACCCGACAGCTCCGAGGGAACAGGCTGCAGGCCCACCGCACACCTCCCCTGCCTTCCCCGGGAGCCCGGGGAAGCAAGAGCAGAAGGGGAACGGGCTTAATCAGAAACAGCGAGAAGACCCGGTGTGACAGGGGCCGAAACGAGCCCCGTGTCCGGCAGCAGCCCAGCGGTGACCGCGGAGCACAGATTCCGGGCAGATCTGGAGGCGAAGGGGCATCTGCCTCCCCGCGGGGGCTGGGAGCGCAGGTCCGGCGCGAGCACAGCGGGTCCCCTGCCCCCTAGAACCTCCGGCACCTGGGACCTGCCC